GCAGCACGGCGTCGCCCCTAGTCAACAAGGCCTTCGCCACCTTGGGGTACAGGCTGCGGAGACTGGCGAACGCGGACCTGATGTGCCTCTCAAGCGTCACCAGCGCCGTGCCGTCGCCTTCGTGGATGCACACCTCGGCCTCGTGGCAGCGTCGGTGGTGAGTGGGCACATGGCCAAGACAAGGGACATTGGACTTCGTAATCGTTCGATGCATGGCTTCCCACTCTGATGCACGCTGCGCAGCCGTCTGGACGCCATTGCCGCACAAGCTGCGGCATGCGTCCGACGCCACGCTGCGCGCGCGCCTGCGGTACTTCAAAACGGTGCCAGTGTCGACCTGGACGTCGATATCGCCAGTGGCGGTGGCGGCCCTGTCCACGACCGCGAACAGGCCGTCGTCCTGCGCCTGGCGAGCCCGTCTGACACCGAGGGCCGCCTCGTGCACCGCGCCAGCCAGTCGGGTCTCCCGCGCGCCCCCACTGCGCCGCAGGCGAAGGGAGCCCTCCCGAGCAGCGCATGCTGCATCCAAGATCGGCGACGCCACGTCTGCCCAACGTGACTTCTGCAGCCCGCCATCTCCTGGTAGCGGATCCGTCAACGCGCGGCTCGACGGCAAGAGCCCGACAAAAGCCCCGATGCTGGATGCCGCCGCTGACACTGCTTTCCGACGCTTGTCGAAGCCACGCTCTCCAGAAAGATGCCGATCCCGTGCAAGTGCTGCCAATAATCGGTACTCTTCCAACTCCGCCTCGCCAAGCCGTGAGAACTGCTCCGACATCTCTGCAGCGGACTCCTGCGTAAGCCAACCGCCATTCACGTGAACGAATGCACGCCATGTCCAGACCTTGAGGCTGTTGCGCCCGCACCGTGGATCGATGGTCTGGCGGGCACGCTTGGGGGCTGGGCCCCTGGTGGTATCACGTTGGTGCGGCGCCATGTCCACGTCGAAATCGGCTGCCGAGTGACTCGCAAAATGAGCACTCACCTCCTCTACAGTCTCAATGTGCGTCCACACTCTGAAGCGCGCCCCCCGCTGGTTGACCGAATGCAAGCGCTCCACGTCGGCCGTGTCCATGTCGATCATCACCAGGGCTCCTTTGAGCTCGGCCGCGGCCTCAGCGGAGTCCAGGCGCCCCGAGTAGAAGCTGGCGAAATCCTCCGAATACGAATCCAAAAGGCAGCGCTTGGTGTCCGACAAGGTCTTCAGCAACTCTGGGTTCTTGAGGCCATATAGCAAAGGCATTGGCCAATTCCGATTAGCCCTGTAGACTAGATGGTACGCCACAGCGCCCATCTTAGACAACATGCGGTAAACCATGAGCGCCGTCCTCTCCGTGCGAACCTGCAACGGATACCACAGTGCTGAATCGAATATCGAGGCGTAGGAACTCTTCAGCAGCGCAACGGTATCGACATCCTCATGTGCAACCCAGGCTTGATACGTCCTCGCCTCACCTCGAGATACATCGTGCTGCTGCTTCTTCTCGAATGCCGACCCGCTCGTTGCCAATTGCCTCGACAAGTAGGCGTCAGTCCGCGCAATCATCACTGATGCCACGTAAGCGTCATCCGCAACACTGCCGCTAGTCATCCACGAACGGGTGCCGAGCACACGCTGGTCCTGCTGCTCCCTGAAAATGTTCACGTCGTCCGTGCCATCTGCATGCTCGTCGTCGTCGCCTTGGGGCGCGTGTCGTCGCTGACCGCCGCCGTCACCTTCACCTGGCCGATCGGCATCTGCATCCTCAGGGTGCGCCGACCTGTCTGCCGCCTCAGTTGGCGCCTTGGCCTTCTTCGGCGCTGGCAGCGCCCGCAAGTACGCAGCCTGGAAAATGCCGTGCACCGAAGCTGGAAGACCGACGCATCTATGACTCTGCATTTTGTTTGTCCAATTTGCCCCGTTGAGAACGTGCACGCTGCCAAACAACGCCCCGACGCCGAACCTCCGCATCAAGTACTTCGTGTGAGACGGCGACTTGCAACATCCTGAACAGTAGTGCTCGATGACGCCGTGCTTGCGAATGTCACCATTGTACAATCGCGTGCATACCGCGCGTCGCCAAGCGAGAGTTGGGTCTGAAGGGTCATTGAAATACAAATCCCAAATCTGATTACGATGAAGGGTGGCGTCGGCGGGGCAAACTCCTCGTTTCACCTCGAGCTGCTCCTCAATGATGAGCCTGGACTGGTGCCTCAGCGCGATCAGGTGGTCGCCCGTCAGCGACATCTGACAACGAACGAGGTGAGTATCGAAGGGCTTGATGGTCGCGTACCCCTGCTCGGCAACCTTTTTCTTCATGTGGGCCCTGCACAATATAATCAACTGGGACCTTCGAGTGAACTGCTGCTTCATCTGGCGCTCGTTTCTCAAGTTACCACTTGCAGCATCGCAACCAACGACGTCGACCTGGCGGGGAAAGCGTAGATCAACACTATAATCCCAAGGTTGGTCAAGCAACTGCCGCAACGCTGCGTGGATGACCTCGGCCGCCGAACCGTCCAACACGCATAGATGAGTCGGCACAGTGCCGCACATGTGCAAGAAGTCCTTATGGCCATCACTGGATTTCCTCACGACCACGCCGAAAGCCGCCTTCGCGACGAACACCTCTCTCGTGCCGACTGATTTTTCTGTGATGGTGTCATCCTCGTACTCGTGCTCCACTCTCGATGTCAGCCTCATCCGCGTCCCGTCGTACTTCCGCTTCCTGAAAAATAGCAATGGCTCAATCGAGCCTGCAGTGTCCGAGCTGGCTTTGCACATGTCCAACACTCTCTGGGTGAGGGAGGAAACGTGCCACTGAGAAGCCCAAAACGCTGCATGAGCAACAGCGTAAGTCTTCTCGCGTAGCTTCCCACCCGTAATCCCAATTCTGGTACTCAGGGCAGCTGCGCTCTCCAGACCAACCAGCTGATCGTCTGGGTACCGCTTCTCCACCAGCACGCGCGCCAGCCTCGCTATGGGGCCATCGGCTGGCGCACTGGCACCAGGACCCGCTGGAGGCTGAGGCCTTTGCTGGGCCGCCAGCTGCCCTGGTGGATGAGGCTGGTGAAGCACGATGGCCTCGCCGACGCCCCCGTCGCGAGGGCTCTCGTCCAGCCAGTCCTCGTCAGGCCCGTCAGGCGATTGCCCGCCCTCCTGCAGCAACCCTGGTGGCGAGCCGCCGCCGAGGGGAGAGAGCGGCGGCGTCGGGATGCTGGGGGCGCTCCATTCTTCGTCGCTGAGGAAGTGTTCAGTAGGCGATTGCATCAGAAAGGCAAGGGCAGCGAAACAGGTTTTAACCGAAATGGTTGCAGAACGCACGTTGAACAACTGGGGCGCTGCGCTATTTCGGCACACCCCTCGCACATGTTGCCCTTTATTGGAGAGCCCCTTGCGGGCGCCAAATTCGGGGCCCATTGCGAGTGCCAATTTGGGGGGCCATTGGGGCGACAACTTTCGAGGCCCGTGGTGAACGCCAGTTCGAGAACCCATTGCGAGTGTCCGTTTGGGGGGCCCGACGGTGGCTACTATTGTGACAGTGCCACCAAGTGCCGCAGAGTCTGCCGACCCCAAGCAGGGGCGAACAAGGAGTATGAACACGAATCAGAACTGCCCCTGAACATTGGGCCCCATCGCACACAGCTTCGCACGCACGAAGAGCAAGAGCACGCGCGGGACACGTCTGCTCCACGGGCCATACACGAGAACTCACACTTTTTGTGCCCCTTCGAAAAACACAAATGGCCATCAACTTTTTCTGAAGCCCCAGACACGTCCATCAGACCCCTACTCCGAAATGTTGCACCCGAGGCGCGCGCCATCAGACCCCCACCCCAGACAGCACGCCGCCGCGGGCATCAAAACCCATGTATCCCCTCAAGACACCATTGACAGGCGGGAAAGTCTCAAACCTGGACCTATGTCAGGACTTCTGAGGCCCCTTCAGACGCCCAAGGGGAACCCAGGCCTCCCAGGCCCCTCCGACATAACCTGCTTCCGTGGGGGACTGGTTATCTTAGAGCTCGCGAACGCATTACAGTCCATGAGGGTAGCGAACTGTTGAGAGTTACCATTAGGATGTTATATGAAGCCTGGGCCCACGGGATTCCAGCGAGTATGGAGCACCCCTTTGTGTCCGACGGACCCCCAGAGGCCCCTAGCCCTTGGAACCTAACTCAACTACAACGACTGGCCACGATGCCAAGGGTTTCCCAGCATCACGTTCACATGTGCATGTTTGGGGCGCGTGTTCTCAAGCCCACCTTCCTCCTGTGCACCTGTGCACACACCTAGGTGCCTTGGGTGAGAAGCTTGCGCGCAAAGAACAGCGCTTTACCACGACGGTCTGCCTTCTTTTTTCTCTGATTGTTCTCTTAGTCATACTACCCACACTGTGAGTTGCAATCACGCCAACCTGACATTTTTCCGTGAAGGGCTATACAGCGAAGGGAAGCATGGTCCAAGGACTCCGCCAGATGCGCCATCTTTCAGACAGTACCTGTATTGTGTGCAAGGGTTATCCTTGCACGCGCCAATGGCAGTAACGGAGGAGTGTCAGGTTTTGGGGGAAGGCTATTCTTTCCCACCCCCTCTTGCCCCTTGCCCTGTCTTCCCTCGAGTGCCCACCCACTTTAAACGGTAGTACCCCTGGCCCGCTCAGTGCGGATAGCGCTCCTGCGCTTAGCAGTACTTGCTGTTGTCCCTTGACTCCTGCTTGCTGCTGCTCCTTGCCCTGTTCTTCACTCATTGGGCTTCTCTCTCATCCATCCACTGGCGTCGACTTTCTGCCTATGACCGAACCGAACCGAACCGAACCGAGGAGGAGGAGAAGGATGAGGGAGGAGGAGGGAGGAGGAGGAGGAGGAGGAGGAGGAGGAGGAGGAGGAGGAGGAGGAGGAGTCTCGATAATGCCCTAGGTTTTCAATCCATGTCTTGCCCCCCCAGCCGGCCCCCCACCCCCCTGACGGTAGGGCTCCATATGCCACCCGGGCGGCCGCGCGCGCGCCGGGCCCCGCGCTCTCCGCTTCCGCTCTGGGGGTCCTCGGTGCGCGCCATGGCGACGGTGCTGTCGGGGTGGTGGCGGCGGGGGGGGGGGAAGGGATCGGGAGAGGGAGGGGGAGAGGGGGAGAGGCATGGGGGGGCAGGTGGAAGGAGGGAGAGGGGGAGGGGGAAGGGGAGGGAGGCGAGGCGGACGGAGGGGAGGGGGGGGACGGTGATGGGGTGGGAGGGGAAAGGGAGGGGAGGGGGGGGGGGGGAGGGGAAGGGAGGGGAATGGAGGGAAGAGGGGAGGAGAGGGGGAGGGGCAGGGGGAAGGGGAAGGTGGAGGGGGAACGGGAGGGCGGGTGCGGAAGCGAAAGGGGAAGGGGAGGGAGGGGGAGGGGAATGATTCGTTGGCTCTGGACCCCGCGCTGGGGATCGTCGGGGAGAACGGCGCGGCGGGGGAAGGGATGGGGAGGGGACTGGGGGATGACAACCGCAACAATCGTGGCAACAACCAGTCAATCTGATGAATCGGAGGGGGGAGGGACGTGAGCGGGCCTGGCCGTGCTTGCTTTCGTGGGACGGCGGCGCGTGCAGGGCCCCCGCGCACGGCGGCGCTGCGCCGCTCGCAAGGTCCTCTATTTCGCCCGACCCGCACTCCCAGGCAACGACGACGAAGACGGCCCACCAGCCTCCTCCGCCACCCCTCTAAGCCCCTCATTGGAAGTCACCTCCGAGGGGGCACCTGTTACCCCTGAATTAGCATCTGAAACGGTGTGATACCTGAGGTATTCGTCAAGCGCAACAGTGGAACCTTCAGAACTGTGGGACTGCAAGCCATACGCAGGCATGTGATCAGACGCGATGGCCGCTGGCTGGGCGGTTTTAACACTGGCAGGCGGTCCACGGTAGAAGGGATACAGCCTGCGGCCGGTCCGCGACAAATTCTGAATCGAACCTCCAATGGCTTTCATTGCCCTATCAACTGTCTGGGGTCGAGCGTCGCCCTGAAGCCGCAAGCAGAACAAGACTTGATACCACGCGGCTCCGATGGAGCCCTTTGCCTCCAACTTTGCCCACGCTCGCTAACTTCAATAAACTGCCACAAGCGAAACGCCCAGGACCACCATGAGGACACGGCGGCGGAAAGAGCGCGGGTTAGGACCCCAGGGCCCCCGAAGGCCCGCCAGGATCTCGGGCAGATTCAGTCGTGACATCCGAGGCCCGAGTCGCAGCACAGGAAATGACGACAGCACGCACTATGTCACTGGCCGCCACCAGCTCACGACACTTGGTGTCGAAAGTTCTGCTACATTCCAACTGTGAAAAAAGCAATTCCCAGAACCACCGAGCGCCTCGGGCAATCGAGAGTGCGGCTTGCACCTTAGCTTCGGAGCTCGAAAATAAAAGCTCACACGACACGCCGAACACGATTGCGCGCCAGATGGGCAACACATCATATTTCGGAGACGCATCATAACAATCCGTCTCAGATCTGCTCGCGCACCGTCCGGATCGATCCTGACACTGGGGCATGGTGGGGCTGATAAACAAACGACCGATTCAGAACCACAGCAGCCGTTCCACGTCGACGCCTACGAAGTCCTCCATGCAATCGCCCCAAAACCGAGGCGAGGTCGAAGGAGATCTCAGCCCCAAGGGAGACGGGATCAGGAAAACCAAATCCTTCCAGGAAGCAGGGAACCGCGGGGCTACTAGCAGGAAAACCACGGAGCCAAAGAGAGGGGTCGGCGCCGGCAAGGGCTGCAAGAATAAGAGCATTGGCGCACGTGTAACCATCATGACTGCAAGTCTCCTGGCGCCCCCAGACACGGTGGCGCAGCGTCTCCCTGCGCAACCGACAACGAGGCCCCGCGCCCATGGAGCCCCTACCTGCGAAAAAGTTCAATTCTGACTGCGCTAGTTGGAGGCCGGCGCCCAGTCCAAAGGTCTCGCTGCGAGGAGCAGCAACTTTCCAAGCCAAGCGAGCGCAACCGGGGCCGCACGTCACGAAAATCTCGTCGAAGTCGCCAAGCGCTGTATTTTGGAAAGGGCAGTCGTCAACCGAAGGGAAAGCTCATTCCTCGACTGCCCGCGGCCCGCGCCGCCTCGGATCTGCCGCGCAAGGTTCCCGTCCAACTTGAATGAGAATTGTTTGGAGGGCCGCCCCTTGATGCGGGGCCACTTCATAGTAGGTCCTGTGCTCGCTCGCACCTTGGACCAGATGCGATTGGCGCGAGGCTGCAAATCAAGCTGCGCGCTTCAAAAACGAACCCACTCCGCGACACGGGACCTCATCTGCGCCGGACGGCCGCCACGGCCAAGAGTAGCCCTGGTAAGCCCTGCTTGGCGCAAGCTGCATGTCGTCGCAACTGGAGCACCGAGAAAAAGGCGGCGCCCTGCACCTGGCTAGCGCGCGTGGCGGCCGGGCCCCTATGCAAACCATTGGCGACAGTTCGGGCCCGCCCCCCCGGCCTACCCCGATGTTGTTAGCGCTCTGTGTTTATGAGTGTGTATATATATACACGCACATATAG